TAATCTGTTTACATATCTTGTCATAGTCTCTGGGATACTTCAATATGCTCCTTTGCTATTTAAAATTTAGATAGTACAATAATCATGGATTGAATGATGGTAATTCCCTCCGTTTATGCATTTATAGTTTCTTTAGCAGTAAATCATGAGAGTTTTCTTACAATCACCCTCTGTATATTTTCAGGTTCATTTACACTCATATGTCATCTATACCAAATAATGGACAAAATAGGGTATGAAAATATCCGGTTTTATTACTGCGATTTTCTAAACAATGGATATGATATTACAAAATCTCTAAATTTTATATCTTATCATATCCAATCCCATCTTGACTATAAATGTAGACGACCAAACACAACCTAAGTATTAATTTACTCAACCAATTCTTTATGCTCGTAATAGTAACTTATGCTCATCACACGAATTTTTGACATTCCAATGCATTAATGAAATTGGACCCGGTTTTTGCAGCATGTCGTGCTCATTGTTTATTTTGGTTAAATTAGCTAATTCTTTTGATGCATAGATTCCTTATTTAGATTTTCTTATATTACAAAAAAAAAAAAGTACCCGCATCCCGCAGGGCACTTGTTAAAAAGCCATTTAAAAAAAGCTTAGAGTTTGCTAATAAATTGTTTTCTAGTGTTATATGTAATCAACGTTCTAAAAATTACGACAGTCTCTCTTAAGAAAACTTAAGACGCTCTCCAGGGTAATCGTTTATAAGATTTTTTTTTCCCTTTTTACCTGTAATTTTGGGGCTGTATATTACTATGGATAGCTAATTGAGATACACGATATCCATGTTTCAGATTTTATAGTGTCGAAGTTATTGCTAAATGTCTAGAATTCATGAGTGCCAAAATATATTCCATTGATGTACATGAGAAATCGGTGGAGTGTTTCCATTACAACACAATGCAGAAGGAAAATGACACCATTAGTGTCATAACTTTAGTTTGACGCTAACTTGAATGTGATCACTTTTCAATCAATACTATAACATTCATACAATGTTCACTAGAGTGCTACAACTTTTCAACCGATCATTTGAGTGCACTTGTGATAAATGTTTTTAAAAGCATTTGTACAATGCCATTTAGTTGAATTCAATTATTATACTCCTAAGAGAAAGATACTACTAGAACAACTCTTGGACTTTATGACGTAAACGCTCACATATGATTTTTAGCTATTCCTTAAAGTACAGTATTTTGTGCACTCAAGCCAATCACAACATAAATATTATTATGGGAAAAATTTTCAAAAGGTTTAAAAGTTATTGCACTTTTTTCAATTCAATTTTAAACCTTTTAATTGTGTTAATTGAGTCATAAATCATTTTTCACATTTTGCCAAGTGAGTCCATCTAACAAATTTTGCCGGAAATTGTTGACGTGGACGTCGGCCATACCACGTGGCCTGGCCAGCAACCGGCTTTGATGTTGACAATTTTTAAATATATTATAATATTTTTTTGAATTTTTTATTTTTCCCCTTTTTCTTTTCCTCTCTTTTCCTTCTTTACTTTTTTTCCCCTTTCCTTTCCTCTTCTTTTTTCTTTTTTTCCCTCCGTTGGCCATCACTAGGCCTAGTCGATGGTTCGCGAGGGTCCTGATTCCGGCATTGGGGACGTTTGGCAATGGCTGGGAGAGGGAAAAAGAAAAAAAAAGAAGTAAAGAAATAATATGAGTCATCGGGAACTGAGATGGCCGGTAACGTTTTTTTACCGATATTTTTTTATACACTTATCAACTGTTTCAGGAATTTATCAGCACAAAAAGAAAAAATCCATTTATGTTTGGAAATGAAATAGTTGAACCGTCTGTGGATTTGAGGAGAAGATACGACCTACATTTATTGCTAGCTTCTTTGTTGTGTTTAATGGCGACCCAAAGATTGTATAGGTGATCCTCCTCCTACGGTTCACAAAGACGCTCGAACGGGTTAGTACAAAATTTTTTGTATGCTACAAATAAATGCCGAGTCAGCATATGAGTTCATTAGATAGGATTAGATAGGACAAAACCAATCCTACTAATACGATTGAAATAAGTATTTTTTTCCGAGCCAGTTAGGTTTATTTCCTAATAATGAGATATTCCTAACTCCACCAAATCACAAAGCATTCATTGTCTCTTTCTCTCGGTTTATGGCCACGTGATAGAAATGATAGGCACAAAGATAGCGGCCCTCATAAAGCGGGACTCCGGTTATGTCGGCAGGCTGATACACCCATCGATCCTTCATATCCCACAAAACTGGCAAACTGGCAAGTGGGAATCACACAAACGAAGCTTTCCAGCTGCTCAGCCGACATGCCATCGATCGAGCCTCGTGTTTCGGTTTTTGCTAATGAAGGGAAGACGGTGGCTACATCGGCATGGGGCCATGTAGTCCCACCCACATTAAAAAAGAAAAGAGAGAGTTTTGAGTGACCCCATTCCACAACCATCGACACTGAACTGACGAAACCCAACATTGATTCCACCCAATTCTCGTTCCATCCCCCCAAGGCAATAACAATAGGCACATGTTGCAAATGTCCCGTCAAGGGCTATGCGAGGGTCTGCAAGAGAAATGACACGTGTGACCGCTATCGTAGCCCAATTTGAGCCGGTGGCCAATCGCATAATGCCATGGAGAGGGGCAAAACGAGCTATGTAGCCTTGCCAAACCTCATGTTAGCCAACTTAATGTCATGGAGAGAGGCAAAACGAGCTAATGTAGCCTTGCCAAACCTCATGTTACGCCGCCCCCCCCCCCCCCATGTTATTCACGAATCCAGATGGTATTTGCCAAAAGCAAAAAATAAACGGAACATAAAATATTTAGACACCGAATTCACGTCATTCGATTGATGGGAATTACTCTATTGGGAGGGCAACATAAGATTTCAATATCTGAGTTTCCTTTACAGGCTCAAACTCAAGATATATATTTAATAGATGTTATCACTTAGAGTGGAGGCAGAATTGAAACTTTCTTATAATGTTGATCAAGGGCCCGTCAAATCGAAGACCTTAAGAGTGAACTTATCGATATTCATGTTTTAAAAGTTTCACTGTCTTCATTGTTAGGATCATATTTTCGTCCAACGCATAATATCAATAGTTTTCATGATCCTGACAAGCATGCCTACATCTACAAGAGAGACGAGATTCTATTAGAAAACAAATTTCAAGTAACTTCCATAATGAACAATGGCAAAACCTCATCGCAGGGTTTATTCACTGTTGGCGAAGTGGGGAAGTAGCTTTGTCCTTCTGCTTCCAAGAAATGTTCCACTCTCTACTAGGGGTGAGCATCGGTCTTGGATCAACCCTAGACCGGCCAACTCGGCTGGTCCTGGTCCGGTTCCTAGGGGAGTGGGCCGATCCTTGGTCTTGGGAACCTTGGAACCAACACTGTGCGGATTGGTCTCTGGTTCTGGGGCTTGAGGATTGGTCCAACCCATACCAACCTCTCTCTCTCTCTCTCTCTCTCTCTCTCTCTCTCTCTCTCTCTCTCTCTCTCTCTCTCTCTCTCTCTCTCTCTCTCTCTCTCTATATATATATATATATATATATATATATATATATATCTTGTCTAAGCCCTAGGCCCCTCCTCTTCTGGGCTGTTGACTTATAGTGGTGATGAAGGTGGTGACTTTGTATGGAAGAATTAGAGGGACTTAACAGCGTGAGTTTTTCGTAACGGATGTCGTATTTGTGCTTTTCTTTCTTGGGGCTTGGGGTAAGAGTAAAGATGACTGAGGAGTTTATTGGGGGGGGGGGGGGGGTGTTTAGTTAAGGACGAGATTGATTTCCCTTCGATAAGATGGATGCAAATAATAAATGATGAAAATAGCATAGCATCTAGGCTGTTTAAAATAAAAACCCCGTTGCCTTCCTTCGCTAGATCTCTCACCTCTCCTTGCTTGCCACATGAACACAGCTCGGCTGGTGACATCGCTCACCTCTCTTGGCTTGCCTCACGAACGCAGCTCGCTCGCCTCTGTTCCCTCGCCCCACAAACGCAGCCTAGCTGGTGAGTTCCCAATTTGTGCTTGAGTTGAGAGCTTCAAGCTCATGTGAGTTCTCGATTTGTGCCTGGTATTTATTTTTTCCCAATTTGTGCTTGATCTGAGAGCTTTAAGCTCGTCAGCCTCTTTTTTGGTGATGATAATGCTTCTTGATCTACGGAGTAAAGTCCATTTGGTGATAATGCTCGTGAGAAATCTTGCTTTTTGTGCTTTTTGAACCTCGAATAGTCCGTATGATGATATGCTATTTGTGTGCTTTTCCTTGAATTTGATAGTGAATTTCTTTTCTTTAATATTTGCAGGTGTTAAATCATGTCTTGACTTTGCTCTATTAGTCATTCATTTAACTAGATAATTGTGATTTTCGATCCCAAGCTCAACAGGGCCGGTCTCTAGTCCCAAAAATTTGGAACCAACACTATGAGGGTTACTCTTTGAGTTAGGTGCTGGATTGGCTCAATCCAAACCATGCTCACCTCTACTCGCTACCGACGGAAGCTGCTCAATGCCTTACCACCTCTATTAGTTGTGGCTTCCGATCCATGACATAGTTAATGACTCCTCTTGAAAAAGCAGGAACCCTAATTCTTTCCTAAATTAAGAACCCCTAATCTTTTAACCCTAAGTCTGAACGGCAACGTCTCTCTTTCTCTCTCCTGAAGCATTTGTTCTAGTTCAGGAAAAAGAACGTGGTCTCCTGCCCAACAGCGCACGTCAGCAAGGCCGTGGAGGTGCACAGTGCATGCTGGATGACTTGTCAGCACTTCAACGTATAAAGTGGACGATAGTTTAATGAGGGCTAGTCTTGGATCGCGATCGAAATTAACATCAGGTGCAGTTCTTTTCCGCACATTTGAAAAAAAAAAAAGTTTGTCCCTCATTTTCCACGTGGCGAGTAAACACATGAACCTCTTCAATTTCTTCACGGCGCCACAATTGTTATTCCGCTCTTATATATTCAACACCCACCTCACTCCACTTCTCCACACACAGACACTGCTCTTTTCTTCGTAAAAGGCCACTAATTCCCTCTCTCTCCCTGTCTCCCGAAGACAAGAATGATGACCAGCAGCTTGCAGAGTTGGCCCGAGCCGATCGTCCGGGTCCAAGCCTTATCGGAGAGTGGCATCGCACGGATCCCAGAGCGCTACGTGAAGCCGCCCTCCGAGCGGCCCTCGCCGGTTCCTAACTTCACCCCTCGAGATCATGACCACACCCATGACAGCATAAATATACCCGTTATCGACCTCGCCGGCATAATGTCAAGCGGCGACGGGTCCACCCTCCTCCTCGAACGCATCTCTTACGTGTGCCGGGAGTGGGGGTTCTTCCAGGTGGTGAACCACGGGGTGAGCGTTGAGCTGATGGGGGCGGCGAGGGAGGTGTGGAGGGAGTTCTTCGGGCTGCCGGTGGAGGTGAAGCAGGAGTACGCGAACAACCCGAGCACGTACGAAGGGTACGGGAGTCGGATTGGGGTGGAGAGGGGGGCCACGCTCGATTGGTGCGACTATTTTTTTCTTCACTACTTGCCTCGCTCGGTTAGGAACCCCAGCAAATGGCCTGCACTCCCACTCTCGTGCAGGTTTTCCTCTTGCTATGTTCATGGCTTTCTTGGTTCTCATAAATTGATAATTTTCTCTTGGCTTCTTACATAGTCTGTGCACAATACTAGGTATATCAAGATTGATATGCTAAATTCAATATATTGAGTGATAAGTAAGAGTTTTATGGGATATTGGTCATAACTCATTCACAGGTTTAATACAATATACCATAATTTGAAATACAATATCACACATCATTCAATAATATATCAATTTTAACATGACAGTTCTTAAATTTTAATATACATAACGATAGTCTCCTTTCTAATTGGTAATTGAGCAAGAACTTTATCGTTCAAACAAGAACGAAACCAAAGTACAGATCATGTGTCGACTATTACGTATTATCTAACATTGGGTCGCTTTTTATGCTCATCCATAGGTTTTTATTATTGACTAGATGACTTAGTGTTGACGGGTCGGCTTTTCTTTGAAACCCCACCCGGTCCGACCAACTCGGGTTTAGGTTCTTCTTATCCGACCTGAAAATCGAATCGAAAGAAATTCCACACCGAAAGTCCTGTTTAGTCTTATATTGTGTAATCATGGTACTATACCATAACGATTGCTTGTGAACTTAATGCTTAAAACCGGCCATGTTCTTCAAGTTTCATGTATTATCTAGGGAAAGCGGTGCACTAGTGTGACTGGAATCTCTTCTCCTTCATGGAGAATCGTCACAAATTGCCCATATCTTTTTTGAAAAGCTATCAGCCGCCCCCAAGATCAGCCTGATCGCAACGGTTTATATGCATTGATCTCACATGATTTGAGTGCAGGCAATCCTTGCTCGTATTTTTTAGCCCGAAAATCTTGAAGACGCAACTTCTCTGTCTGCCCCGGCAGGGACGACTGGAGGACGTGGACTTCATATCATATCCACCTAAAAGACATCTAAACGGCGCCGACATATCCTCGAATCAAACTGCCCATTCCTTGTCGGCAGGTCGCCGGCCTCGTTAATATCGTTTAACATAATATAATGACTTAGCTTCTTAAGCAGCATTATAATACGACAAATTAAACCTCCATTCCGATCAGAGAGGACACAGATTGATAAGCACGGACCGAATGGTATAAAAACCAGGGTTTGTTGACATTTTTAGTATGATTCATTTATTAAAGTACTTTCTTATTAAGTATATCATGTCACCTATGGATGAATGATGTATCGATGTCATTTCTCATTAGAAGACGGTATTTGTAAAATTGTGTGGGATCATAACCAATGCTTTGATATCATGCGAGATGTATATAGAACATAGTCAGCTGTTCTAAAAGTTTAAACTGTTAGAGAATGCTTTGATTGAATATTTACATATTATGGGAAGTACGACAAAATGGGTACAGATTTAATAGGTACTGTGGCTGATTCTATGCAGAGAGCTGATATCAGAATATGGGAAGGAAGTGACGGAGCTGTGCAAAAGGTTGTTGAGCCTACTATCGAGAAGCTTGGGATTGGAAGGAGACCACTTGGAGAGAGCATTTGAAGGAGGGGAGGAGCTTGGGGCATGCCTGAGGGCCAACTTCTACCCAAAGTGCCCTCAGCCTGACCTCGCTCTCGGCCTCTCTGCCCATTCCGACCCGGGCTCCATGACCATTCTCCTCCCCGACCCACACGTGGCGGGTCTTCAGGTGCGACAAGGAGAACACTGGGTCACGGTCAAGCCCATCCCTAATGCTTTCATCGTCAACCTGGGTGACCAGATGCAGGTGCATCAGCTCCCTCTCTATATGATTATGAACATTTTGCATATTTACCAGGATTCAGCAAGTGCTAACTCTCTTTGCTTCTGCGTGAACATTTCAGGTGGTGACAAATGCAATTTACAGGAGCGTGGAGCATAGGGTGATTGTGAATTCGGCGAAAGAGCGAGTCTCGCTGGCATTCTTTTACAACCCTAAGATCGACCTACTGATTCAACCCGCCAAGGAGCTCGTCACCGAGGACCGGCCTGCCCTCTACTCTCCGATGACTTATGAGGAGTACAGAACTTACATCAGAACAAAAGGTCCTCGTGGCAAGTCGCAACTCGAATCTCTAATACGATTACCCACCAAAAAATTGACACAATAAACTTCTGTGGCTCAATCAATGGAAACCTTAGAGGAGCACTTCTGCCATCTCGCAGCCATCAGTGTATGTGAAGTTCAGCATTGCCGCTACTGTTGATTTTAAGTCCTGAATGTCAAGTTATGTGCATATGTTTTAGCAGTGTGTAACGGGTTCTTCATAAGATGGATGATGTTAGAGAAAACTGTCTTGAATAGGCTACTTCTGTTATAATCAATCAGTTATTTCAGGTTCTCGTGACTCGTGAGGAATGTAGAACTCGACATCCTCAGTTATGTATGCAGTATGTTCTCCGTAGTTTTACACTATGGTTGGCAGTATAAAGATATACGCATGTATACGGTAATAGAATATGTTTTAAAGTCTTTTGTAACAATTTAAACTTATAGAACGAGCAGTATATATATTTCACGCAACTATCTTCAATGTGACATTGGAGTTAACTGTCTCCAAATTCAATTTTGCATTCATGTTCCCGACATTATATTTCAGAAAATACCTTTATAGATATTTTCACCACACTCAAATAAAATTGCAATCTTGACCCACCACTCGCATGCACACAAACTCGAAGTTAATTCTCTTGGTACTTTACATGTGATATGAACCATTCGTTTTGAAATTATGTATGATTCCGAAATTGTCTTTCTCTGAAATCGATGGTTGTGATTTGTTGTAAAATAATGCGAAAGCTAACCAAAATCTTACAATTAAATCGATGCGAAAGAGAACCAGAGAAATAAACGAGGAACAATAAAGGACACTAATGATTTACGTGTTTCGGTCCAAGCATCGATATCTACATTCACGGAGAAAGCCAGCAACACATAATCCACTATAATCGAATAATCAAAGTGTACAATCGCTCACACGCTCGAGTGTTTCCCACACCTAGATTATGTCCAAACCCAAAGTGTTCACAAATAAATCAATTAATTGAATAAAAAACTCATAACACAAAATCACTAGGTGTCCAAGCCCACTTCGTTGTCCGTATGAAAAAGCTTCGCCTTTGTCTTCTTCAAGCTGTTCCTTTTGTGAACGGCTCGTCTACCAAGAGTCACTACGCTTGTGCTCTCTACCGAAGTAACTCTAAGAAACCTCCACTAATGCGGCTTTAAAGATCAAGAAAATAGTACACAGGCCTGTCTCTCCACGTCATCCACCCACCACTCCATTCATCGAGCGACACGTGTCCATAGTGGGCCCCACGTTTCACTTTTATTCTCTCCCTCTGTGACTCTCTCGATCATCCCCGGTACTACCTCTCTCCTCTCCTCTGCTCTGTTATCTCTCTCTCTCCTAACCGAGAATCCAAGAAAGACAAAATAAGGATCCTAAGTATACGAAGGCCCGTTTGGTTCAGCTTTGGGAAAAGGCTTTCGGCCTCGAAAACCCCTTCCCAAAATGCTGAACCGTTTGGTTCGGCTTTCCGAATTCGGAAAGCCGAAAGCCAGCATTTGAAATGCCATTGGAATGCTAAATCTTATTTTTCCTTCCCAAATTGCCCTCATTCAAATTTCAATTTTCCGGTTGTGCCCTGTCACTGTTCATCTTCTTCACGTGGCCGGCGAGGGTGGCCGGCGAAGGGCCGGCGAAGGCCCGGCGAGGGGCCGGCGAGGTCACCTGACCTAGGCGACGGCCGCCTGGGGTCGGGCGACCGCCCAGGCGCCGTCGCTTGGGTCGGCGGTCACCTAGAGTCGCGCGACCCAGGCGGCGCTCGCCTTAAGAAGCCCCATATTTTCCCTTTAGTTTACTTTTTCTCTAACTACTCCCTGGGCCCTACTTGTTTTCTTTTTGTGCGGCTCCAAGAAGCCAAAGAAAAGATGTCCACGTCCACTTCCTGGTCAAATAATCAAACTTGGACAAATTTGAATGGACTTACATCCGTAAAAAGCAACATCAAATTTGAACTAATAAAATTCTTCCAACAGAGGGGAAATTACCAAAAAAAAAATTTAAACTTATTGTAATTATGTCAATTCGATCTTAAATCTTTTTTTTTGTTATTAATTGAGTGATAAACTTTTTGCATTTGTGTCAATTCAGTTTATCCGGCCACTTTTTTGCCGGAAATTACCAACATAAACGCCGGCCGTTCTAAGTGACGCGGCCACGCTGACGTGGAATTTTATTTTTTCTTTTCTTTTTTCTTTCCTTTTCTTTCTCTTTCTTTTTTATTTTCTTCCTTATTCCTTTGGCCGGTCACCAAACCTTAACGACCAGCTAAAGGCGAGGGCCGGCGAGGCTGGGCGAGCCTCACCCTTGCCAGCCAGAGGAAGAAGGAAGAAAAGAAAAGGAAAGAGGAAGAAAAAAAAATCGAAAAAATATTGTTAAAAATTGTCTACATCAGCGCTAGCCATGTCAACGATTTCTTACCAAAATTGGTGGAATGGACTAAATTGACATAAATACAAAAGGTTTAGGACTCAATTGGCAAAAAAAAAAAATTAGGACTGAATTGACACAATTACAATAGATTTAAAACTTCTTTGGTAATTCTCCCTCCAACGAATATGGATTACGTACATAGCTCAAACTCGAAACATAATATAACATGATCACCTTCTTGCGATTGTAACAGGGGCTATTACTGGGGAAAAGTGCCAAAAAAGTCCTAAACCTTTTGCATTAGTGCCAATTTAGTCCTAAACCTTTTTTTGGTGCCAATTCAGTCCTAAACCTTTTGCATTGGTGCCAATTCAGTCATAAACCTTTTAAATTGGTGCCAATTCAGTCCTAAACCTTTTGTTTTTGTGCCAATTTAGTCCTTCCGGTCAATTTTGACTGGATTTTGCCGACGTGGACGCCTGCCGGCCGGCGGCCAGTCACCGGCGCTAACGTGGCGCCGACGTGGACAACTTTAATATTATTTTAATATTTTTTTGAATTTTTATTTTTTTCCTTTTTTTCTTTTTTTTTCCACTTTTTTTTTTGGTCTCTCCCTCCTCCCTCTGGCCGGCCACTGGCAAGGGCGAGCCTCGCCTTCGTCGGGCGAGGCTCGACCTCCCCAGATCCGGCAAGGTCAAGCCTCGCCCGACCATGGCAAGGCTCGAGCCCTCGCCGGAGGCCGCAGGTGAGGGCTCGAGCCTCGCCATGGTCGGGCGAGGCCCGACCTCGCCGGATGCTGCGAGGTCGAGCCTCGCCCGACCAAGGGCAAGGCTCGAGCCCTCGCCGGAGGCCGCGGCGAGGGCGAGCCTCGCCATGGTCGGGCGAGGCCCGACCTTGCCGGATCTGGCGAGGTCGAGCCTCGCCAGCGACCTCGCCGGATCCGGCGAGGTCGGGCCTCGCTCGACTAGGCGAGGCTCGAGCCTCGCCGGAGGCGCGGCGAGGTCGGGCCTCGCCCGACCATGGCGAGGCTCGCCCTCGCCGCGGCCTCCGACGAGGGCTCGAGCCTCGCCATGGTCGGGCGAGGCTCGACCTCGCCGGATCCGCGAGGTCAAGCCTCGTCGGATCTGGCAAGGTCAAGCCTCGCCCGCCTTTGGCCTCTGGCCCGTCGCCGATCGCCAGACCGGCGACCGGTCAAAGGGAGTAGGGAGAGACCAAAAAAAAAAAAGTGGAAAAAAAAAATAAAAAAAGGAAAAAAAATAAAAATTCAAAAAAATATTAAAATAATATTAAAGTTGTCCACGTCAGCGCCGGTGACCGGCTGGCAGGCGTCCACGTCGGCAAATTCCGGTCAAAATTGGTCGGAAGGACTAAATTGGCACAAAAACAAAAGGTTTAGGACTGAATTGGCACTAAAAAAAGGTTTAGGACTAAATTGGTACTAATGCAAAAGGTTTAGGACTTTTTTTGCACTTTTCCCGCTATTACTGTGACTTGTGTGGACTAGTAACGCTAATTAAATGAATGAGCAATGCTTTAATTTATTTTCTTTTAATCGGGGGCGGGAGAATATGAGATGTTGCATATCACCGGCCCATAGCATGAAAGCTGCTTCTCTCATGCATCCCACGCAGATTTTTTTTTCTTCGAAAAATCACAAATTTTAGGTAAAATTTATCTAAAGTGACTTGCAATTTATATGTGGTATTCAGTGGGTAAAGATGTAAATTAATGAAATAAGAGCAAAATCTCTCAAACCAAAAACATGTTTTCTCATCCATAAAGTGTAAAACTAGATAGTTTTGGATTTTCTTCGTCTAATTAGATGCAAATATCTCGTCTACTTATTTTCTTATTATTATTTTTTTTGGTCATGTACTTCTTTTCTTATTGCACATATAGAAAATGTTCCCTTTCGTCTAGCTAGTTTCAAATGGATTAAACTAGTAATATGTGGTATGATAACTATCTATATTTGATGTACACAGAATTGACTTAGAAGTTAAGACAAAATATTTTTAGCTTATATGAAAGATGCAAATCAATTAATGAAATCAATCTATATTTGTCATTGTCTTGGTAAAGTGTTCAATTAATATTATATTCTCTTAGATCTTTTCTTATATGTATCAACAATTATATAATAATCTCTTTCTTCGTACTATTTTTCTTGTAAAAAATCGTGATTATTTTCATTGGCATAATCTACGGGCCTCTTTGGTAATCTACATTTACATAAGTATGGATAAAGTCAAGGCAACATATATGAATATTTTGGTGGAAAAGATTATGCTAAAAGATAAATTTCAAAATTTAGTATTATTGTAATCGGGAGTCATCAAGAAAAAGGTATTTCTCTTTATGCAAGTGCTTGTTTGAGTTCATATAAAAAAATTCAAGAACAAGAATTAACGAAATTTTAAATTGAGCTTTTTTGTTTTCTATAGACTTCGCAATGACATACACTTTATAGTGTGAATGTTTGTCAAAACTCTCACGTGAAAATTGGGTACTATCGGAGTGAATTTTTTTGGTTGTTCCAGGACTCGGTCACAACCATCAATTTTAAAGAAAGACAACATTGGAATCACACAAAAGATTGTAAGTTGTCTGCAGAAAAAACTGAAGCAAGAGGCTGCATTGGAGGATGTTCTTCTGGCAATGGAGCAGCAGGGAAGAAGGTTTGTGCGGAAATTGATTCAGCCTGTGCCCATAAAAGACCTCATCCATGGAGCCGGGCAGTGCAACTGGAAGCTTGCGAGGCTCATCGAAGACATTAAGAATTCATTTTGAAGATTATAATTTCGTTTTTTCTTTACAGGAAGCAACACTTGGTCGCTTTGCATGTTCAACAGAAGAGGAGTCCGTGTGATTGTGATGTCACCTCCCATATGCTTTGTTGGATGAAGGTAAAATTCTCTCACTCACGTGTAGGTTGGACTTTGTTCTAAGCCTAAAGCGCAGGAATATGTAATTGTGAGAAGACAAATAGGGGCTTGAAAAGATTTGAATTCTAGATCTCTTGCTCATCGTACTCCTCTCCCTTTCTCTTTCCTTCTTGATTCCTTCTGCTCCCAACTTTCCCTCAAGATGAAGCATTATTTCCAATCTTGAATCTCGTTCAATCAAATCAATCCCCAAACAGCTTCTCCTATGAAACTTGCCTACGCACTTCAACTTGTAATAAACACGCATTTTATTTCCAATGTCTCAAGATTAAAGAGATATATTTCTCACCGTCAGCCATACTTAGATAAAGAAGTAGTTACATCGAACTTAGCTTTGCCTCACTTAGATAACTCTTACTTTCTCGCTCTTTCATCAATTACGTCCATGTCTTCTCCAAGGTTCTGTACGAGATCACTGTGTGGAAGAGCTCCGGTCCAATCCAGAGTCACATTAACCTTTCGGCCATCAGACAATTCCCTCTTCATGTCATCTCCCAAAGCTTTCATGATGAATGCTGATGGGATGACGATCTCCTGAATATACTCAGAACCAGGATAATATTCTTCAGGAAAGTCCATGTTGAAAAATTGCTCGCATCTGTCGTCAGCGATGAGAATGGCGGCCACTCCGGCGTTCTGCGCGTTCCATGCCTTCAGTGAGAAGAAGCAATCTGCCAACAATAGCTAACTCAGTCGTGAGTTTGGGGGGGGCAGAAATAATGTATCATGAATGTGTTTGTTCTTTTTTTTTGGGTCGAAAAATGTGTTTGTTCTTTGACCTGCAGAAAAATTGCATCGGTGGTCTATAAACTTGTATATCTTTAGAATATATTAGTCCTTAATGTTTAAAAACTGAATAGTTGCTCTTTCATAGCTGTACTCAAATGTTTGGTTGCCTAAGAACTGAACCTGAAATTGGGGTTTCTAAAGAGATAGAAACTCTCAATCCTCTTTTTATATGATAAAGAACACTGTAACTCCCAGTTTAATAATAGAAAATAGGATTGTGTCAAAAAATACCACTAGCACTAGTTAAATATTCAAATAAAGAAAGTTCATCTTTTGATGATGGATTGTCTCTCTCGTATTATGTGTAATCAATGCATTGAAAATTAAAATGTTTCTTTAAGAGATATGATTAACAAGTGTCTCGAGAGCACTCGTTAACAAAATCCACACGAATATAATTAAAGCATTTGATCAGATCCAAGAATAGCCAAAATTCAATATTCATCATAATGTTCTCAACCATAAAATCATGTACCACGACCATCGAAAACACCATAACAAACAAACATTAAATCTTGATGTACTTCCCATCGAAGAAAGTAATTTAGGCAAAAGCACAATCGTATTTCAAATATGCACCAAAGTAGGTTCAAATTTTCAGTCATAATAATCCATGAGTAAGCCTTAACAATGATGCACCGAGGATGCCTTTGATTGATCCATGCACGAACAACCACACAAGAATCACTCAAATTGATATGGTACTTAGTGTCTTCTAGTGTATTACTTAAGAACTTATGAAAGTTAAAAGTTAGAGAGTGATAGAGAATTACCGGCATAATTAGATGCTAGACTAAGGAATCACATTGTTTCACGTAAAACTGTTTAATGGCTCCACCATCAAGAGATAATTGGAATCCTTGAACTTAATCTATGACTTCATGAAGATTGAGTCTGGCCATTTACTATCTCAAATCTCAATATGACCCTTTTGATATAGTCATATATAGCTCGTGATGATAATGATGATGATGATGATGATGAGGTTGCACGGTACCTCCTCGATCAGCAAGTAGAAAAGTAGGTGGTCCTCCGGAATTGGAATTGAAAGAGAGACCAAAGTCGCCAAAGCTCTTACATGCCTTGCGGTTGGATTTCGGATAAACTACGGTGCCAGCCATCGTTCCTCCAAGCTTTGGGACTCCAAAGCTTCCGATCGAACTGTCATAAAATCCTTTCATCGATTCTGGAGAAGTCACCTCCAATCTGTTCTTTGCCACTGTGAATCCTCCAAAACTAGACCCGCACAAGATGCACCAAACCCAGACCAAAATCTTCAGCTTTTCCCACATCTTGAATGACCACTTAATTTTCTCCGAATCAGGCTTTGGACAGATCAAGAAGAGGTAATGTATTTATCTGTTTCAACGGCTCATAAGTCCGAGAAGATTGCGACAAAATCAGAATGACATTATCGAGGTTAATCAGTAGATTCAGAGACTAGGATCTCTTAGCCATTAACAACATGGGAAATTCTGCAGAAAACAAAGATGACCGTTCATTGCAGGAATGCTTAAATGGATTTTAGTGCATGTACCATATAAAAATCACAACATCTGACACGTGGAATTCACGTTTCATCAGCTCATAAAGAGTCCGAGGGGATTCCGACAAAAATCGTATTGATTTTATCGAGGTAAATCATTTGACTCAGACTCGAGGAACTCTTTGGCTGTTAACGATATGGATTCTCCGGAGAAAACAAAGATGACCTTTCATTTGGGGGATGCTTGAATGGATTATGGGGCCCATGTACCATATAAAGTCGTAAGAGCTAATACGTGGAATGCACTTGATGGATGTAATATATTTGATCCATGTCATTCCTGATATAGATAAGTACTTCCCCACCCCTAAGATATATGCAACTCTTATTATGTTTAACATGAAAACATCAACTACTATCTAAGGCTCCGTATGTTTGATCGAAGATGAATGATTTTAAAAGTATGTTTTAAAAGATGATTACTCATATTACTTGCAATAATTAAATGAAGGGAACTTTTTTTCATTCTTGACAACAATTAATGTTTAAACCTTTTCGTGGACAATGAATATAGTTTTTATTCATTTATTTTTGTCAGGGACACAAGAAATCATTTTTAAGAAAATATTTTTTAAATAATTTATTTTTCGTAAAACAAACGGAGCCTAAGTAAAAAAATTTATTCGGACAATTGGCTCCATCCAGTGACTGAGCCAGTATTTTAGTGGTGGGTGCGAAATTTCGCGACATACTTGACTTAGAGGTTCAATTAATAAATATTGTGCAATAAATCAATGAGAAAAAATGAAATAATATTAAATATTTCTTTTTTTGACTGAGATAAATTGATAAAGAGTATTATTGAAATGATTTAGTTAGTGAAGTATTTTAAGTTTGCTTCTCAACTTATAAACGTACCAAAATCTAATTATCATATTCGCATTTCTCTTAAAATAAATAATCTAAATATAATGAAAGGCTTTGAGTTCTTAGTTGTATCAATTGTAAACGATCACCACGGGGGTTGCCCTCAGTGGCCACCCTTCTCACTTGAGAAAGGGGAACCGGGGCATAGAGATGAAAAGAAAAAAGTAAGCGATAAAAATAGTCAGAGATAGCATAGAGAAAATGACATGACCATTCAACATGAAATTTAAGCTTGGCTCAGTTAGATGAAGGAGAAAGGACAGTGTGCTAGAGTTCCCTTTAGAGGAGGATGCTGGTGCTGAGGAGGTGAAGAGACGCAGGGGGGGACAGTAATTGTGCCTTTCATTGAGGCTATGCACAGGTTATCAATGAAGAGACAGATAATTTAATGAGGAAAGACGAAAGAGAGGGAGCTGTTATCTGTAAAAGGAGGAAGGGGATGGAGGAGGGCAGAGAACAGGAGCATGGAATAAGGAGGAAACCTAATGGACTGAGTGAAAAATGGGCAAAAAATGATGGAGAAAGTCAGGAGGACGTTGGGGTACAACAATAGATGTTATGTCGATCCAATTGGACTGAGTGAAAAATTAGCTTTGTGATGGGATAATGAAGTTCAATTAGAGATAAAATGGGCATACCAGAACTCTGTTGATACCACAATTATAAGTGCAGATAGTGCTGTGTTCACGGGATTACTTGGGGTTCATGCTGAACCGGAAACATCAAGGAGACAGAGGCATTGGGAGAGTTTAAAGGCAATGGCTAGCGTTAATGTCCTTCCAACGTTATGCATGGGGGATTTTAAGACATGAGAGGGGTTGGAAGAGAAGAAGTGGGTCAGCTACGGCCTCAGAGGATGGTGGAGTTCCAAAAGATTATTTTTGAATATCGTATGTTCATATGGGCTTTCATGGGCAATGCTCCACCTGGTCCAATAAAAGAGATGAGAATAACAGGGTAAGGGAGATGTTGGATAGAGAGGATTAGCTACAGGTAGTTGGAAAAACCTTTGGCCCATCTCGCAGGCTTCTAATTTGCAGTGTTGCTGGCTCAGACCATTGCCCTCTGTTGTTAGATACTGCCTTCAGTGATGTTAAGGGGAAGAAGATCATCAAATTTGAAAGCATGTGGTTGAAAAGTTTCTATCAAAATTTCCCATAAAAAAGTTACCAAACGCAAGCCTTGGTTAATAATCCAAATATTTACTTGCCCCTTGTGTTAATAAAAATGCAGTAATGACCAATTTTCATTCCCAATTTATATTTCCATTCTGCCTTATCCCAATCAACCAAACGGGCCATTAAAAGGGAATTGGGCTCTCATTCCCATTCCAGTGGCCTCATTTCTGATAACCAAACGTGTCATTAAGGTTTAAGTTGGTCAATTGAGGATGTAAGAAAGCCTCAATCATGTCTTGAGCTCACGGTCCATGGATATCAGACATTGAAAATTATAATCAACCAGTCTCTCAAATTAATACCGTTTGTGTAATTTTTTTTTTTTAGAACGGCAATATATATTATATACTCGAGAAAACAAAACGTTGTCCTGGACGGGGCCTCGTAAACCTTGGCAACAAAACAATGTCATTGACAGTATCTTTCAGGATAAGAGAGAGAGAGAGAGAGAGATGGCTATTCGATGGAACCCCCTCTCGACAACGTGCAGTCTTCCCGGAACTCATGGACGGCGTGAATCATCACACTCGCAGCACTTCCTCGCCCCTCCAAGACGCGCCAATCCTCACCGTCCACTAACACCTAATGCAGTCCCGTCAAGCAACGCCCGGCAGCTCATCGAGTCCGGGGCCATCTGCCCCATACCGCCGAGGGAGGCGGCATCCGCCGTCGTGGACGGTGGCTTCGTGATGCTGGACATCAGGCCGGAGTGGGAGAGGGAGAAGGCACGCGTGGCCGGGTCGCTGCACGTGCCTCTCTTCGTGGAGGACAGGGACAACGGGCCCCTGACCCTGCTCAAGAAGTGGGTGCACTTCGGCTACATCGGGCTGTGGACGGGCCAGAACTTCACGACCCTGAACTCCGATTTCATCGAGCAAGTGGAGGAGGTGGTTCCTGATAAGGATGCTAGGATCCTGGTAGCGTGTGGCGAGGGACTCAGGTAAGGTAACTGGTGGCCCCAATCTGGTCTCACTTCATTACTTGTTTTTGGGGCTATGCTTGCACCTTATTTCAAAGCTTAAATATCTCTCTGCCTTTAGCGAACAACGATTAGGAGATACCTATTCAATATATGGTTGATGGGTGAACTTGGAATCAAACTTACCGGAGGCTGTTAGTTAAAATTATCACATGACCTGAGTTTAGACGGTATCCTCTCTTGCTTGCCATTTTGGTAATAGTACTCTTAGATGAAAGTCAGATCCTTGGATGCTGTCGCGTGAAAGAGAGCTTATAGGACACTGAGTCGGAGGTTGTTGATGATGGCAGTGCATCCTTGGATGCAGCAATATCATATTTTGTTGTTGCTCCACAGATCGATGATGGCAGCGTCGAAGCTCCACGATCATGGCTACCGGAACCTGGGATGGTTGGCCGGAGGATTCAATCGTTCCAAGGACAGTGATTTCCCAGATGTTGAAGGTGCCGAGAAGTTGCAGTATGCCACAATCGGAGGCGCGTCGTACTTCTTTCTTCAATTGCTCATTCTCTTGCAAGCTGTTGGGAAAGAATAGCTACTGAAGATTAGCTCTCCGCTTGTTCTCGAACCACATGTCTCTGTTACTTCCGCTGAATACTCGGAGAATAAAATGGAGAAAACCACAAATTCATGAATCACTCTTGATTATTCTTGTATTGGCAAAGGGATCCGCTGCCAAAATGAACTACAAGCGTCTATAAACGGTTACAAATGTCAAAGATGAAGGATGTTCACAAATTGCAATATGAACTCATCAGCAGTTCCCGAGAACACAAACGCGACATAATGAAGCCCTCGGGCTGTCGTTGTTCCGAGTAAATGGAAAGATTATTGTTCAGTTATTAGATGTAGCGCTAACACCTTAAAGTAAAAGATACTACAGAAATGGAAAGACTATTGTTCAGTTATTAGATGTAGAGTTAACACCTCAAAGTAAAAGATACTACCTAAGCATGAGACAGGACTAATGATATGTTTATCATTTGCAAGATGGGAATAATATCTAGCCAAGGCACGATCGGAAACCTCTTTCAGATGACATGACTTCTTCATAAATGAGTTCAGGGTAGGGGTGATCGATTCCCGAGCACTCCAGTCCCACCCCGAAATCGAGAACCGAACCCAACCCAACGAACCGGTTTCCAATTTTTGAAACTGAAAACCGGACCAGTGCCCTTGGAACTAGAGGCTTTTTTACTATTTTTTTAGGAAAATACTTTTTCCTGTATTTTGAACTAGTCACTGTACAGCCCGTACTAGGGATGAAGCAATGGATATGTAAATATAACTTGACTCTCTTTTCCTCCCCTTTCTGCCCTGTATTGTGTGTTGTGTAGAAAGTCAAAGGTCAAATGACCCAATTTTAGTCCGAATCGGAAACCAGACTTGTGCTCCCGGGAGCCGGCCGGTACACATGGAATCGGAAACCAGACCTGTGCTCCCGGGAACCGCCCAAAACCGGCCGGTACGGTCTGGTCCGAGTGGTTCCTTCTGCTCCCCTAGTTCAGGTCACCGTAAAGATGAAAAACCTCTTGCCATCTCCGATATTGTATTGCAGAAGTCTTCCAAATAAATCTTACAAGACAGAAAGAAGCGAGGGAGAGGAATCTACCACGCTTCCTACAACAACAAATCGGACAAGAAGAAAAGAAATCGACCTTCTTTTACTTACAGGCAGGACAAAGGGACACAAAAAATCTAACCACTATTGTCAATACCCATATTCAATCAACCCGCAAGAGATTTGACCGAATGCAGAGATTTCATAACCAATCTAGCACTATCAGAAAAATCACATGCCAGTTTAGCAATGCACAAACTACTAGTATTCAAAATGCCTGCTGCTAAAATTGAAGCAGCACTAGCAGCACTAGCAGCAGCACAGATCTTGAAACCTTTCAATAGATCCGTATCTGTCTACCAGTGAACATCTTAGCAAATACGCAATTAAAATCAGAACTCGGAATAACGAAGAAGAAGAAGAAGAAACGGAAGAAGAAGCAGATCTTGAAGCTTTTCAATAGCTCCAAAAGGACAAGCTTTCAGGTGAAGTCCTTCAATTCCATCTCTTGCGAGACACGCACCTTCCTCCAGCATATCAACAACAATATATCCACAGTATCGAAATCAGCAGTCGTCTTGGTCGCAACAGAAACAAGGAACCGTCATTTGACCCATCTAGAACTGCTGAGCTAGGTGGGTCGGTATGGCGAGCACGAGAACCTACTCATCTACGTAATGCTAAGACCAGTTGAACTGATCTAAAGCATGGATCTACATTAATCAACCAAGAGAATCGGATGGTCAGGGGACCGTAGACCATCCTTGACAAGTTAACACTTCTATAACTCATACCATCCATTCTTCAGCACGTACGACAGCCAACTTTAAATAATCCTCGCCACCAGACTCTCACAATGTTATTAACGCACAAGTCAACAGATCCAAATTAAATAACTCGTGCCAAAGCTACAAAATCGAATACAAGACAAATCCCACATGAAAGAGCAATGGCAGAAAGTAGACAAGTTGAAACAATACACGAGATTGATGTGATGCAACAGGTTCGTACATCTTCAATCTTCTAAAGTAAATGACAACTTAAAACAGAGAACTCGAGCAGCACTCAGCCTTCTTGGCCTAAACCGAACATCGTTATCACCTTGGTACAACATGTCCAGACCCAGACAGACATGACAACCACACAAACCCAATCAATAATCCCAAGAAACCCCCCATTAAATCAACGAGTATAATAACTCCCATGACAAACCCTCCTAACATTTTACCTTGTTATTCCCAAGAACAGAGTAGCTCTATGAGCTAAACACCTTCGCGCCCCTGACCAAAATCCCATCAATCCGACCGGCTTGCGAACCTCTCCACCTTGGAATCCGTCAAATTTAAGCCCACCATGGCCTCCCCTAATCCGCAGCTCACCTCCGCCAACATCTCCGGGTCGCTGTAATGCGTCACCGCCTGCACGATCGCCCGCGCCCTCTTCGCCGGGTCGCCGCTCTTGAACACCCCGGAGCCAACGAACACCCCGTCGCAGCCCAGCTGCATCATCAGCGCGGCATCAGCCGGGGTCGCCACCCCTCCCGCGGCGAACTGCACGACGGGCAGCCTCCCGAGCTGCTTGGTCTGCATGACCAGGTCATAGGGGGCGGCGATCTTCTTGGCGAAGGTGAACACCTCGTCGTCATCCATGTTGCGGAGCACCCGGATGTCACCCATCACGGAGCGGACGTGGCGGACGGCCTCCACGACGTTGCCGGTGCCGGCCTCGCCTTTGGTGCGGATCATGGCGGCGCCCTCGCGGATGCGGCGGAGGGCCTCGCCGAGGTTGCGGCAGCCGCAGACGAAGGGGATGCGGAAGTTGTGCTTGTTGATGTGGTTGTCCTCGTCGGCGGGGGTGAGGACCTCGCTCTCGTCCACGTAGTCGATGCCGATGGCCTCGAGGATCTGGGCCTCGACGAAGTGGCCGATCCGGGCCTTGGCCATGACGGGGATGGTGACGGACTGCTTGATCTCCTTGATGAGCTGGGGGTCGCTCATGCGGGCGACGCCGCCTTGGGCGCGGATGTCGGCGGGGACGCGCTCGAGGGCCATGACGGCGGACGCCCCGGCCTCCTCGGCGACGCGGGCCTGCTCGGGGGTGACGACGTCCATGATGACGCCGCCGCGGAGCATCTGGGCGAGGCCCACCTTGACGGAGAAGGTCGACTTCTTCGCCTCCGTCAGGGCCCCGTTCCCGTACACCGCCACCACTCCGGTCCCGGCCATTTCGCCCTCGCCGCCTGCACGTGTGGAGATAGAGAGAGAGAAAGAGAGAGGGTGAAGAAGATGATGATGATGATGATGGTGGTGGTGGTGGTGGTGGAGGCAGAGGAGAACAGAGAGAGATAGAGAGAGGGTGGCGAGGGATTGAGTATTGAGGGAGGGCGGCTTTTGAATGGTGAGAGAGGGAGAGAGAGAGAGAGAGAGGGGGAGGGTTTGGTGTCGCTTCGACGTGCGTGGTGTGACGAGCGCCGTCGGATTTTTTGGGTGGAAATGGTGGGTGGGGATGGGTGCCGAGGGGGGAGAATGGTTGGCTGATGTGGAGCGGCCGATCGAACGGTGGTGACGGGCTCTGGGCGAGGGGACGAGGGAGGGAGCGCGGTTGGATCTGCTGGAGCGGGCTTCGAGTATTTAAAGCGAGATGCGTTTCCCGGGGCTGGGCTGACTCCGATAATAGTGGGGGGGGAGGAAGTGGGGCCCACTTAGATATGGATTGGCGGTTCCGATGTCGTCGTGGCGGCTGTCGCGCTGATTCGAGATTATTATTATTATTATTATTTTATTTTATTTTACGAAAAACAAACGACATTATATACTAATAAAAATACTCTTTACTTCTGATGGAAACTCAATCTTTTCTTTACTTCTTTGTCCCCCAGATATCTTCATTTATTTTAGTGTTACAACCATATTCATGGGCAAGTTAAAGGATTTTCTTTTGTCTCTCATGTATATTTCAATATTAGAATCTCTATCTTCCCTTATTCTACGACAGACAACAAAGAATCTCAAATCTATTATCTTTACGATATTTTAATCTTTCCATATACAATTTCTTTAAATTGTGCAATTTTACCGATAATTTCATTTCGTTATTTAATGAATCGAACATTTCGTAAACCAATACCGACTGGTAGTTCGTCACATCATTATGAATACATCGATTTTATGAATTAATCTTAACGAGGATGTTACCTAGAATTCTTCAATAAATGAAATCATCATTGGTCTTGTTAAAAATATATCTTGAATTTGAGCCCATAGAGGAAATCTGGTACATCCTTGGTCTTTTTATCATTCTTCATTGAATTCTTTGGTAATTTCTTCTTCTTGCGTTAGACTTGAATTGCAAGATTCGTTAGCTTCCACGTTATTTTACAACATGTCTCATTTTAATCCAGTAACATTATTTTGTGATATTGAGTGAATCATGTCTGTATTCAATGCTCCCATAAGAACAGCCCTAATGAATTTGTAGGGACATGGCGAGCCCATTGCTGCAGTGCAGTCTTACCAACACTGGAGAAATTTTTTTTTTTGGTCAAGCAACACTTGAGAAGTTAGAAGGCCTCTTCATATGATAATTCCTTCTAAGATTTCTTTTAATCTTTTATCTCATATTTTTCTTTAGGGGCATATCCAGTGCTATATATATAATCTTAGATTGTGACCTTATTTTCTGTCACAACCAAATATACAGAAGTTGTAATACTCTTTTCACAAAAAACCCTTCTCGATTTCTTTTTTCCATCAACTTCCATTTCATCTCATCTGTAATTTGATCTTTTTGGCTTACATATATCGATGAGATAGCAGATTCATCTTTGACTTAATAATATCTTTTTCTATACCAAGAATACAATCCACTTATCTCTTGGTTAGGGGACACTTAACGATTACGTATTCACGGTTTGATCGTTTGAATCAAAAGCTCGATTAAGAATCCAATGTTCCGGCTTTATACAATATCAAAGTTTCTGATTATCAATTTAGTTTTGAGATGTCACATTAATCAATGCCAAAAAAGGAGAATCTTTACGAAAAGTTACAATATAAACTCCACGGGTATCTGAATTTTGTTGGCATAACAAGTGTTAATTTCATGACATTCCAACTCATCCAAAATAGAGGGTCAACTCACACATTCAAACTCGATCGAAAAAGAGGAAAAAAACGAGACTCGATATTTTCTTGTCATGCAAGAAATACGTGAGAAACGTGATGTCAGGGCTAACACGATTTTGGGCATTTTGGTCTGAGAGAAGAAAGGTGGGCTTTTTTTAATTATTATTTTCGTTTAAAATTTGGTTTATGGGAGGACACACTTTTCGTGGCTCTGTTATTATCTGGCGTGGAATCGAAATAAAGCATGCCAAATAGCCAAAAAAAGAAAGGAAAAGAAAAGGAAAAATTATTATTTTAAGAGGCACGAGTGCAGTCAGCAAAGCGAACCGCTTGTTTTATTTAACATTTCTGGACAAACCATTTTCGGCCCTTCGCATGACATCCACAGAAAATGGAGAAGAAGTGTTCGACCTGTCTAGAAAATGAGGAAGGAGTGTTCGACTTGTCTTCTTTAGCTGCATTCATTTCTTGATCTCTTTTTACACTTTTTTATGTTGAAAGTTGGCCATCATCACCTTTGGCGGTCCAAGGTTTTGTCCACTTCTTTTCTTACTGAAGAAGAAGGGCAAGTCAAAAGTCTCTTTCTCCCGCTTTCCCTTGACCATGATTGTGCTTCCCCAACCCCAAGAATTCCATAATTGTGATTATTACATTCATTTGTCATCCCCCCCTCCATTGTAATGCGTGATCTAGGCGGGTGTCCCTTCCCGGTATCTTCCTAAAAGGACTGTTTAACTTCTACTGCAGTGGAAAAGTTGAATCATAACACTTGTATCTAGATAAAAAAAGAACAGAAAATTTGATTATTGATTTCCACGTTTATAGATTCATGTTCACCCAAGTCATGTTAAGGTGTAATACCGTTCATATGAGCATGAACACATTCATCATTTCTTTTTTACATGCAAAATTGCATTTATAGAGATGCACTTCCCAACCACAGAATTAAGATCCTTCATAAGATCCACTGCAATGTAACGAGTTTTTTACACATTTGCCCTTAGATTATTCATATCAAGACTACTTTTACAGTATGGTCGTCTATATATGTTGATTAAGTATCACAATATCATCCGTAGTTTAGGATTTCCAATGTGGATTAAGTCCTGGTACATCAAAACATTACTGTTGTCTGATTTCTGCTTGATGTTATCAGTTTAGTCGTCTGGGAGTCAAAATAGGAGACTAATATGTTCCTACCATTACATGAAGACATGGATAACTTAGTTGAGCTGTCCATATTTCGAAGGTGGTTCTCCTTTCCCCAGCCAAGAACCAAGAGAAAAACATTTGGCACTGCTTTATAGGAGTAGTGAGAATGATGCAGCAGCTAACTCGGACAAGCTTTGTGGTGATCATGACAAGGTGTGCAAGATCCCATGCCACATCGCAGAGTCATCTCGAAGGAAGCATGTGCAGAAGGGGCTTCGGCTCAGTCCACTGGATAAACTCACAGGTGTGACAAAGTATGATGAAACTAACCTCATAGCAATTGCCATGGCTCTTGCTGATGACCGTTTTCCAATACAGGATCAGACCCGCCCTGTAGCGTAATCCTTGCCATGCACAGAAGGAGAGAAGGCGCCAACTTTGTTTAAAAAAAATACGTATTTGTTAACAAAATCTTCTCGAGGTTACAGCGCCCACATTAAGATATCTTCACATTGCTCTACCAAGAAACAGCTTTACAAGCCAATAAGCCACTGGAACAAATGGGGACATGGTCACATCTATTTTCAAAAAATCGCTCAACAATGATTAATTGATCAGTGCCATTCACCAGAAAGAAATCACTGGAGGCGGCACAAAGGATCTGCTTGCCGGTGATTTGTCCAGGCTTTGCTAATCCATCGAAAAAACTGGATCTTTCTCATTGTTTTCAAACCGTGAAAATCTTCCGTACCTTCTTCATGTTCCTCCGACAGATAGGGCATGTACCAGCTGCCTCGGCTATCCTGTTGCAATTAGTTAACTTCATGTGTTAAGGTCCTTATATTGTACTACGGTTGCACTGCCATAACTTCAACTAAATCTAAAGGAGTAAGAAAAGACCAACTGAACTGTGTTTTCAAACTAATTAATTCAGGACTTAAGGAAACTGAAATGATGAGTGTTTCAGCTAATTATCCAGTGCAAACAGCTTATTACATTCATATTCTCCCAATTGGCAGGTACCCTAACGTTTTGAACATCTACAGAAGAGAAGCTTATGCCATTTCTTCCACCCATCTTGAACAAGATGTGACACTCCCGCGAATTTAAATAACAGAAGAAGGATGGAAAACAGTCAAAAGTAGGCATCCCTCTCCTCTCATTCATCTTTTAATCCTTGTGTTTCTTTCACATACAGCAGAACTTAGATCCTAGATCCTCATGGAGTTCATAAAGCCCTATTGAGAACCTTAATTTTCTTTTGTCTATGAAACCAAATAGGTTGCCAGTGTAAATTGGACACTTTGTGGAACTTCAAAATAAGATCAGTTTAGAGTGCAGTTACCTTTGTCCACATTCAAAACAAGCCACACAGTGTCCACAAGGAAGAAAGAAGCAGTCCCTGGGAGCATCGAAGCAAATTCCACACAAACGCCGTGTATTATTACCATTTTCACCATCTTGCAATAGCTTCCCTTCAGGAGCTCCCGCTGCCAAAAGTTCTTCTAGATCCGCCTCATCATGTGAATTAGAATCATAGGATGACCCCCAACTAGAGAGATCGTCATCTTTATATGATAGAAGAGGTGCTCTCTCAGCTTCCATTCGCCCATATGGTGCTCCAGTTGCCTCTTCACGACTACATCGAAATTTGTTCAAGAAATTGAAGGCTAGTAGCATGAGCACTGTCATTCCACCTACAAAAATCAACTTCCCTAAGAAGTGTCGACACAATTTAAAGGTGATGAAAGGAAAGGACAGAAAGTGAAAATCATGTGTACCAATTCCAACAAAATATGTAATCCATCTCGGTCCATAGGACAGTCTTACATACCAGTCATCACTGGGTGTTCCCTACAGCAAAAGACAGCCAATTATATATCTTGATATGTAGGGTTTGAGAGACAGTCAAGTAGAGTGGTATACAGAATTCAAGAGCCTTATGTAACAAAAACCTAGCAGGGCCTCCATATAGGCAACCCCTTTCAAAATTCTCTATACAATAAGTTAAAAGAACCACAAAACCATACCAGTCAAAATTTAGTAAGTTTTTACCTGTCCTGCACCAGGTGTAGCTATGACAGCAGCATTTCCTTCGGGGAAAAGAACATTCATACTACATTCGCCGTGGGAAAAAGTACACTTGTAATAGGCCGAGGTCGTGTTATAGAGGTAAGCCTTCACTCCAAGGTTCAATTGAACCTGTTGAACATAGAAGGAGATGAAAGTGAACAACAAGGATAAATTGGAACAAATTAATATGAAGAATTCGCGTATCTTAGCAAACATCGCAAGGTACAAAATCTATGATCTAGATAGATTCTTTTTACTGCACTCTTCTATGCATTGTTATTACTGCCATAATCTTGAATACAAAACTTTGCCCTAATAATGGGATTTTCTCCAACCAGACTTAAACTAATATTGAACTGGGAAGTTTGAATGGTTAAGCCATTACACTGCAGTACTCACTTCCACATACGTGGTAAGTTGTCCCAAGGACTACATTCCACCATCTTCCAGTCCATTCATTTTTCTTATCCTTTTCTCCTTGGTAAATATCATTATTTAATTTAACATCACAATATACATATATGGAGAGGAGGGCTTGCCCCAAGTCACCACATGGGAGGGGCATGGGGACATCTAAATGGGGATTCTATCGACTTGTTCTGACCTAGGATGACACCCTCTTGACTAGGTCTTCACCATCCATAAACGAAAGATGGCTTCCTTCATAAATGCATGAATGTGATGTGCTAAATTAACCAAGCAAAATCATGTCTCTTTTTTATTTAGCTTCATTTGTTTTCCGCAAACTTCAAACTGGTAATGATGAAAACTTAATACGGTGCTATTTATCCTCTCTAAGAAAATTCAGTTGCAATCTGCAGCTATTTTAATCATAAACTCAGTAGAGACCGACATTCATGACAGATCAAGAGCAGTGTCATTATATCTGCATGCATATCCAAATTTAGTCATGAACTTGTCTTACTTTAGTCAGTTATCTACTAAAGAACATATTTTGTGCAAAGGAATGACAGTTACATTATAATTAGTTGAAAGTCTGGTTTGTTTTTTGCACAGTTATGGAATAGAAGCTATATCTCACTTCAACCTCTTTCTGAAAGTGTTTAAATGCTGCTGAGATCAGATTGTCTCCTGAATTTCAATCTCTTTCAGAAGAAAGTTGACCAGCGGCGATATAAGAATGGCAGACAATAACCTCATCTGCCAATCACTAGAAAGGATCTCTTGCACTAAGTATGCTTTGCCTTTATTTATACAGCTCAAAGCTCAACCAAATCATCATCCATGAGACAAATTTCTACCATCCCTAACTTTAGCGCTGAATGTCCATATCCCATGACATGGAGGTTATACTATGCATATCACTAAAGCACACACCACTATCACCTTTTTCCACATAATGAATTTCCTTTAGTCTCATTTACTACAAAATGCTGACAAATTGACAATTACAACTATCCCCTTTTTAAAAAAATTAAAGGGAATCATGGGCCCTTTCTGTTTAAAGTGAGTACATGAGATGCACCACCAAGAGTAGGAGTCGTGAGGAAGTAGTGAAAAGATCACATAAACATTATGTTATTCAGAGTTCAATTTGCCAAAGCTTTTAAAAGAAGAAAACAAAAGATAAAAAAGTCACGTTAAAACTGTACTTGATCTGAAATGTGTTATTCTGGACTCAATCATCTTTTGGAGAATGCGAAAAGAGCGATAATGTAATATTGGACTATGCTCGGAAGGCGAAACTAAAGAGAGAGGTAGCCTGATAGCAGTGCAGGATTAAATAAACTAAGCTGCTCCAGAAAAGTGCGACTAGCATAGAGTTTTGAGCATCACATCAAACAATAGTTATAAACTGAATAGCAAAAGATGAGGGTTACATTCCTCTCATCAGATAAGTGGATCTCTTTTAAAGTATTAGATTTAGAAGTATAGAGATATATAATATTCAGAAAACAAATAGTCTTCAGTTGGACACTATTCAGCTTTGGAAGAAAAACTAGAAGTTAGCTAAGGAATGAACTATGTAACTCACAGTAAACTTTGCACAAAAGTTGTCCACCAAACCAAATTATGTAAAATCTCCATGAATTCATCCTTAAGTAGGTAATGGGGTTCATATATGGAGAAACTGATTCGATTATCAAGTGGAACTCTAATACCAGCACCTTCCAGAAGACATGATGGCCAAAATGTACAATAACAACCATATTCATATCTTAGAAAACCCATGTTTGGAGGAGTCTAGTAGTAGCAATGGCCAATCTGAAGGATCAAAGTCTGCCCCATCAAATGTCAGGCTAAAGCAAAATAACTACATAATCCGATTGAACCATGAGCATCCAGATAAAACTTTACTTCATTACGTGATAGGCAAGTGTACTAATGTGAAGGTACGACAAGATACAGAAGCAACAGGCATCAGCACTACTAACCAATTAGTTAAATAACTTATGAAGCAAAAGTTTTTCTGTCTAGTCGGGCAGTTAAGTCTTTAGGAAGTGTGAAGTCCGAACTAAGTCAACGCAAATCAGTCTCATGAACAACACAATTAGCAAGCATTCATTCATGGATAAACTAAACATTTTCCATCTCAAGGCTATGTATACTTGACAAACTCGCAGCTGGGAATGTAGAATTTCATGAATCATTCCGTAATTACCTCCACTTCTTCCGAGTTCAAGTTGCCAACTGCAATATAGTAACTGGAGGACTTATATATGATTTGCTGTATCATGCCGACCCCTGAGAAAAGTTTATTGCAGACATTTAGTATGCAGTAGACAAAGCAAAATTTAACAAACTCTCAAATCCTTTCTAACCATGAACAACATTCCATGATAAAGTGGTGTTAGGATATGTTGGGTCCTCACGCCATTCGGCAAGGCCTTCACTGCCTGCAGTTGACAGATTCACAATGATATTGTCAATGGAGTTCACAAAAAGAGATAAGGAAGTCGGTGTAGGTGGCAGACAAGTAATGATTGTGTTATATGAGATGTATGAGAATTTGAAGGAAAAGAATCATCTCACTGACACAACAATTAATCGATTAGGAGAAGCTCAAAAAATTGTCTTGGCACAAGGAAGGCAGAGAATTCAAAAGGAAAAAAAGAAAGAAAAGGTAACAAATACTAGGGAGTTTTAAGTTTTTGGAAGTTAACGACGGGATATGTTGATACTCTGAACTAATAATTTTGTCATTGCATTGTATACAAATAATCATCAGAACGAACGACACATGGATCCTTGACTCATGTTTCAGGAAAAAAAAAACTCCAACAAGCATTTCACTTACACTTGCTTGTGTTTATAACAGGGGTCTATTTAAGCATATTCTGGTAACATTCACCTACATCTAAGGAGTAGGAGCTAGTTAAGACAAAGCTTCCCCCTATGAGAGCACATGACAAATTGCAATTTAAGTAGTTTCTGTTTAAAGCTCAAAATTTAGGGGATTGGTTGGCATATTTTCTCATTGACTCTTCTTTCACCTTGTATTGGCTCCTTTCACTGACGCAATGATCAAAGTAGGTAGGTACATATCAATCTAATAAACCACCACAGGAAATGATAAGGATATTGACATGATGCAAATTGCAGATATATGACGACAAGTTAGGGCAACAACATTGCAAGGTGGACGAATTATTTCAAGTTTACCTTGAGCAATAACAAGAAATACAGAGGAACCTGCAGAGCTCACGTTATAGGTAATATTAATTTGAGACCCTTCGTTTAAGTAATATATCCACTCCTGAAAAAGAAGATAAAGGAAATTGATGTTCTGAAGTGAGAAACGTCCATTTTGGAATGTGAAAAAGCAGCAACCCAATAGCTAAAAGATAGAAGCCTTGCCTTGTCTGAGTCAGCCGGAACAGAAGCATTTTGAGTTTTGGACCAAGTGGTAGTAACATCCAGAGAAGGAGCTTTATAAAACCCATATAGAAGTGGCCCAGGCTTGGTATCATCCAACTCCTCTACCTAAAAAGAAACAAGCTATGTGAAGGGCAGCACAAAAGGTCAATAATTTGACACTGCAATGAGACAAACAGTTCATTACCTTCAGAGACTGCACGAAAATGGAATTTGGCTGTACAAGAATCGAGGTGTTTGGACCAAGCCTTATGCTCACAGAACCATAAACTCCCAATATCAGAGTCATAGACACTGCAAGAATTCGAAGCATAATCATACACCTTGGCTTTCCACTTTATTGCCCAGTCACAAGAGAGGTAAATACAAACGACAGCGGAAATCAACAAAAAAAAAAACGCGAAGCATTTGAATGGCTAGTCGCGCAATCCCAAAGAATTCAGACATTCCAAAATGTGGACCAATTACAGAGCCCATACGCACCAAAGAACCAGAAGGTAAGGACCACGATGATGCAAGACCAAGTATCGTCCCGTATCACCGCCGACCCATCATCGAACACGGTGAAATTCCCCCGATACGTAATCCCGATATGTTGCTGCTCCATCTCAGGGTTCCCATACCGATGCTCGTCGATTCGCTCTGGCTCGTCTTCCACTTCGCGAACCGGCGCCGACGAGGAGGACGACGAAGCCCCCGAAGCTTCCCTAATGGACGTGGAAGAAGAAGAAGAAGGGGAAGAAGAAGAAGTCGGATTCGAGCTCTGTCCCTGATCTTCCATTCTACTATAAAAAAAAAGAGAAAAGGGATGATCCAAGAGGAGACAGAAAAGAGCGTGAGCTGAAACAGAGGATCCGAGAATCGATTCCGAGGAACCGATCGAAACCCTAACCGTAATAGCAAGAGCGAATTTGGGGATTAGAAGGGACGCACCTGCTGGATGTCCGTGTCGAGAAGAGGCCATCGGAAAATGCAGGTGGAGCGAGAGAATGGGGTGTACGAATTCACCGGCCGGTCGTCTTCTTCGCAGGGGACTGGTAGTTGAAGTTGAAGTTGAAGAGGAGAGCGACAGTTATTTTTGAGAAGCGCCTGAGTCTCTGACCAATGGGAAGTGAACGAAAATGCTCTCCAGAGTGGCGTTACGGTAAATACGAGAGCTCCTTGCGCTGGCGTGGCAGGAGATGATTGGTTCATTGAGGGGAAAGCCGTGGGGGTTAGTTAGGTGAGACGACATGCATGCCATGGGAACAAGATCAGAAGCGTCTTTGACTTTCCTTAAAGCTGTGGTTTCCTTTTTTTGCTAGATTAGCCACTTAGGTTGTTGGTTTTGTTGACATTGGCCGCAAGTGTCACGTGCTCCATGTGCTTCTTCCATCTTCTGCGTATCCAAGCTCCTGTCATTCGCTGCATCAAATGAAAGCTTCCCTGTCATTAATGGGTGCACGCAATGGTAAATAACGAATTAAGTAGTTTCGATCCTTAAGAGCAATGCATTTTTCTCCCTATTACTAGAAAAGGTCGGGAAGATCGTACTAATGACGCGAGACATGATCATCTTCAAAATTATTGTCTTAGATGGGTAATTTTATTAACTATTTGATTAGATTCTAGACAATATTCTTATGAGATTTGTTGTGCTTTTTGAATAGTTTCCGGCTAAGTTGGATCTAGGTCTCTTTAGGAATTTTAGGATGCTATGTTGGTACTTTGTTCTTTTGTCAAGCAGCTGACCTCTTTGATCAATTAATGAACTGAGAGAATTTTCTAAATTGTCGCGCTTTGATGCGATTGCAACTATGGTTTGTCTGATTCTATTGTAAGTTAGGCTTACCTATCCCCGTTTCCACCACATTAGGTGGTGTTAGAGAAAAGTTAGCCGTAGGAAGGCAAAGATATATACTGCCTACTTTGAGGATAACCATCTCGCTGAGAAAGATCGGGAGCTGTAGTATCTTTGGCGATTATCTTAGGCTGTGTTCGTTTGCGGAAAAATATTTTTTCGAAAAATATTTTCCGCGTTTTCCGGTGTTCGGGGGCGGAAAATGTTTTCCGTGGGAAAACATTTTCCTTCCCCACACCCAAATCCTTCATTGTTTTGAGGAAAATGATTTCCTCTTTTCACAAAGAGGAAAATCATTTTCCCCCAAATTGAAGGCAAAATTGCCCATCGGAGGGAAAATATTTTCCGTGGGAGAGGAAGTTGATTGCCGGTCACCACCGTTGGCCGCCGGTCGCCCGCCGCCGCCGCCGCCGCCGCCGGCCGCCCGCCGCCGCCGGTCGCCGGTGAAAAATATTTTCCGAAACTTTTTCATATTAATCGCCGAACACCGGAAAATTATGTTCCGGGAAAATATTTTCCAAAAGGAGAATATTTTCCGCCAAACGAACGGAGCCTTAAAGTGTTTTAATAGATTGTAAAACGATAACAGGATGTGATGACTACTTGGCCGAAGGCTTTTCGCCCGATTAGGGTAACAAAGTGGTGCCGTGGTGAATCACGCCCATAGCCAACCGTTTGTATACTTGTTTCGACGGTTTGGAGTCACTCACATCTAACCTAGCTAACTGGAGGAACACAATTCATTTGGGGATAGATAGGATTTTGGTTGGAGAAATATTCATGGTGAATTATGATAGCTGTAGTGATTGTGGTGGTTGTGATTTGGTGACCGTGACGACTATGAGATTCACCCTTATTATGGAGGTCGTGATAATTACGACAAGCGTGATGGCCAGTGTAAACACGTAATTTAAGGTTTTACCAAAGTTGAGCGAAAATAAAACATCGTTAAAATTTCCACTGAAATGTACAATTTGGTCGTGCTCGTCGCGAGCTTTTCCAATTTCCCCGTATCGGATAATTGGATGTAAAAATTTCGTTATTTTTCAATTATGGACATGCGATCAAGAGATATCAAGAATTTTGTGATTTGACCCGATTAATTAATTCCATTTTAAAGATCAAATCACAAGCTTTATGATGCAAAAACGATCGAATTTTTTATGAGGAAAATATCGTAACTTTCTACCATGATCGTCGTCTATTCATCCTAATTTTCGAAAATCCGCCATCCTGATACTTTTTCAAGAATTGGACCGCATTGCTTGGAAATTCGGGTCACGAGCTTCTGTGGGTGCAAAAATCTAGGCAATCGGATATCGGAAATAGAGATAGGCTTCTCTCAAGTAGATTCCCAGCGATTTTTTACCGTCTTGGGTACTCTCCCTTCTCTCTTTACTTTTTGCCGACGGAAACGGAACGCTTCTTCCTAAATTCGGAAGAAAACGTCATGGTGGTTTCCCTTCGCAATCAGAACATTCGTCCACCAATCTTCTTCGGGTGCTCACTCACTTAAAAGTTCAAACAACCCAACAATCACAGGTTCAGCTAAGCATGTTAAATGTTCGATGAACAAGAAAAGGATCGTATTCGACTTTTAATCTCAACATCTGGAATTTCATATGCGTTTGTCCCGCAAAATATGAATGATTTAAAATACATTTTCTTAAAAATGATTGCTTGTATCGCTTACTAAAATGAACGAATGAAAGATATTTTTATCATTCACGGAAATATTTAGACATAAATTGATATCGATCCACCAAATTTCTTTCCTTTCCTTTTATTTTGTTTTTTTTTATATCTAATTTCTTTTCCATTTGCTTCTTATGTGCGCATGGATTTATAAAACGTTTTGTAGTCGCATTATTTTCATCTAATAAAGTCATGACAAGTAATTAATTGGAGTCATAAACTCTAGTCATACTCAATAGCTCATTTTTTTGTTTTTGTAAGCAAACATCTTGTCAAATATACTTTAAAAACTTAAGGTCTTCGTGCAAACCGATGTAAAGTAAGGGTGTGTTTATTTGGCGAAAAATAAATGATTTAGATAACATTTTCCTAAAAATAATCGCTTGTGTCACTTACAAAAGTGAAAGAAGGAAAAAAAATTTCATCATCCATAAAAATGTTTAGACATGAATTATTGTCGATAATGAAACATTTTTCATTAACTAATTATTTTAAGCGATATAAGTGATTATTTTTAGGAAAATATTTTCCAAGGCAAAAAAAATGGAGCCCTCGATAAATTTAAGTCAATATTGATATTTTCATATCATAGCATTTTCTATGTTACTTAGGTTGCGTTTTGTACTATAATTCTCAAGAAGTTATGAAGATCTATTGGTAAAAGTAAATATCCTTTTTATCATTTAATTTTATTGATTTTATTTCCGTAGAAGTCATCATCTTCCCCATTACTTTTTGGTATATAATTGAAATTTTTATTCAACTTTGTGTACGCATTAAAGGAATGTGACATATTCACGTTAATGAAAATACCAAGTGGGAATTTGAGAATGAAAGTCTTCAAGCTTTTCCTTTTATTTGCTAGGAAAATAGCACTTTATAGAACAAAATAGAGAGTCTTCAAGCTTTTACCTTACTTTCATTAACATGATACTTTTACTTTCACCTTAGGATGCATTCATTTCACGAAAAATCCATAACTTGGAAGATATTTTCCAAAACATGATTACTTATATCGCTTACAAAAATTAATAAATGAAAAATATTTTTATCATCCATAGAACTATCTAGGCATAAATTATTGTCGATGGCGAAAATAATTTTTATTAACTAATTTTTTAATAGATATAACTCATCATTTATTGAAAAATATCTTTTAAATCATTCTTTTTCCGTGAAACAAATGGACCTTTGTTTAAAAAGAAATCGATTCATACATATTTAGGTATTATTAGTATTTTTGAACACCCGTTGTACAGCACTTTTGTCACGCCCCGCACCCTACGAGCGCGCGATCATCCCGCGATGGTCGATCATTGAATGCGACGTCCCAGGCACGTCGCCGACCCAATCCAAATATCAGAGATTAGGCACGCGCGGAAACAAATAGAAACAACCCGGACAATTAATAATGACAAGGGGTAACAATAGCACAAAACAATAACTGTAATTCCTACACTTGGCAGATACATACAATGCTCATCAAAAGGGACAATGGTTCGCGAACTTAACTCCTCTACAAAATGGGAAAACTCAAAATACAGGACACTCGACCCGTCCTCGATCTCCAAGATACCCTTGCAGCGTCTCCCATCACTCACGGTCGCGGATCTGAAATGGTTATATAATAACCGTGAGAACGAGTCTCAATAAGCAACCCCCTATACCCCACGTAGGCCAATGCGTACCCAGACAAGTCTAACAATGCGAGTCACCAGACAACACAACCAGTTTCACAGGATAAGCTTACCTCGCCTAGAACCACGTGCCAACCCTACATATTAGTCCAACATGACAATGCAAGAATAGTTCACTGCCACATCACCATCACCCGGCACACACACTCCTACTCGCAATCAACCAATCCAACCAAGCATCCACACGTACAATTAGCCAATTCAATCAATCACATCGCACACACGTGTCCAACCAACTTTCTTCTCACGGACCACCGTCAACACGTCTCAAGTCCGGTCTCACAGGCACACAAGCCACACAATTCGATCAATTCCAATGGCCGCCGTCAACACGTCCCAAGCCATACCATTCAATCAATTCCAAGTGGCCGCCAACACGTCCCAAGCCACACTTTCCTTTCACGGACCGCCGTCAACACGTCCCAAGTCCGTAGCCCTCCGATCAATCCGGGCTCAAATTCCAATGACCGACGTAAATACGTCCCGGTCCAACACGCCTTCCACGGGCCACCGTCAACACGTCTTAAGCTCGCATCCATTTGGCACATCGGCCATTCATGCCTTCACACGGACCGCCGTCAACACGTCCCAAGTCCGTAGCCCTCCGATCAATCCGGGCTTAGAATCGACAAGCAAGCACACGCCACTCAATTAAATCAATTTCATGCCAATTGCATCAAACAACCCATAATCAC